TGATTGGACTCGCTTCGACGTTCAGCTCAGCCTCCAAAACCTGCGCAGCTTCGACCCAGCTGTAGTGCAGCGAGAACTCCGCAAACTCCACTTGAGATGGTTTCATGCCAAGGAGCCAAAAATGCGGATGATTCTAACCAAGGTTGGTCTGGGTGAAACCCGTTTGAGTCTGATCAAAGGCATTTGTGACTCGTGTAGAGAATGTCGAGCCTGGGACAAACCAGGCAACACGGTGATGCCTTCTGTGTCACTGCCAGGACGTTTCAACGAGGAAGTCGAATGTGATCTTTTCTTTTACAAACAGGAACATATTGTTTTTCACATCATCGACCGTTGTATTCGCTGGGCAGCTGGCACAGAGATTCCTGATAAAGCCATGCATACTGTTCTCGATGCCTATCATACTACTTGGATGCAACATGGCCCTGCTAAAATCTTATACTCCGATGGGGAAGGAACACTGAATAATGATACAGCAAAGGCCATCCTTAAGGCTAAGGGAACAGAGCTTCGTATTCGAGCGCGTGGCCAACACGCTACAACTATCGAAGCTAGGAACGGCATCCTGCGACACCTCTTACACGTGATGGGAGAAGAATTGAATAGATTAAATATTCCTCTCAATTTCACTCGTCTCTTACATGAAGCCTTGTTTGCCAGCAACGCATTTACCTTCTACAATGAAGTGTCTCCGTACAATGCGCTGTATGGCAGACAACCAGCTATGCTTCCCGATTTCCCTGTCTTGGATCATGATCAGTCCGCTGAATCATCAGATCACTCAAGGGAGGAAACAATCAGGAGGGTTAGTCTGGAGGCAATCACGCAGGCCACTGCGGTTGCCAAGACGAACAGGGCTCTCCGTACGAAGACTACTGCTACGGGTGAATTTCACTACAAAGAGGGAGATCTCGTGGACTATCATCGCCCGACCACCACGAAAGACGACTGGGGTGGATGGAGTGGTCCATACCCGGTCATCCGCAACGAACCTGACCGAGGCCAGGTCATCGTGAAGGTCGGCAGTCGCGAAGTGCGAGTACAGTATCCTGACACACGACACACACTGTACATCGAAGCACTTATGGTCCGCGAGATAGGATCGGACAATACGGCCCTTCGGACAGTATTGGCCTTTATTGCCGGTCTGCCAGCGGGGAAACCCGCCATGACTTTCGGATATCTACCAGCGAAACAGGGTCGGCTGCAGATGACTGCTGCGAGCCGACTTTCGCCTAAGGTGCACTTGGCTCTTCAGTACCTCATACGCAACTACTTTCGTATTGAAAACGTTGTTGCTGTACGACTTGCCAAGAGCCTGACGAAGTTGCCTGCTGCACCCTATGCAGACAGCTGTACACTAGTGCACTATGATAATGATGTGACCCCTGGTTTTCATTACTATGAAGCTGATGGCACTGCCTTGAACATCTATGACATCACAGGATCTACACACTCACGCATCATCCAGTGTCTTAAATCCAGGAAGCCGTCTGCTGGATTTGACCAAGACCTCACTAAGTTTGAGGAACTCGCTGATGGTCCACCACCAAGCGAATCACCTCCAGCAGCTGCTCCTGAGGAGCCTCCTACGGATAACGATGGTCGGCTCCCGACCATCATAGAGGAAACAGAAGAAGATCTGGATGCTTTTGTCTTGAAGTCGTGGTATGCTGAACTGATGGATGACAGAACACTCCTTGAAGCTGACACAGAGGAAGTCATGCATACAGTTCCCACATACATGACAGACACACAGTGTGTGTTAGTCTCTACGACCTGTGAAGATGTGCAAGGCCACTTGCCGGAGCGGGGTCACCCGCCAGGATACGACATGGACACTTCTTACTACGTTCCTTTATGCTCCACGGATCCGGATAGCAAATATGATCTGGACTCCGATGAGCACGGGAAGTACATCGAGCTCTGCTTCACTGCAGACATGTCCAAAGTCGTCCTGTCCGAGCAGCAGCGCCGATTGTTGGATGACAGCAGCGTCACAACTATGCGAGTATACGTTAGTGCTGCCTCCAAACGTGCCGTGGTCGTCAAGGAAGACGATCTACTCACGAAGGCCGACATCCAAGCAAATCCGGTCAAAGTTTCCAAAGCCCTCTACACAGAATTGAAGACTTGGCTTGACAACAAATGCTTCCAGATGACTGACTTAAGCAAGGCGTCTAACATCATGACGTCACGCTACGTATACAAATGGAAGTTTGTCAAGAACGAAAAGGGCGAAATGGAAAGGACGATCAGGTTACGCTTGGTACTCCGTGGCTTCATGGACCTTGAAGCCTTTGATGTCGAAACCTTCTCTGGCACGGCAAGGAGGTCAAGCCAGAGACTGCTCGCAAGTTCTGCTGCATGCAACAAAGCTTGGATCATCGCTTCCCTGGACATCAACATGGCTTTCTTGAAGGGACTGACCTATGGCGAGCTCGCCGCGGCAACGGGCGAGAAAGAGCGTGTGGTGTGCTTCACACTACCACCTGGGTCAGCAGCTGTCCTTCGCACACTGCCAGGCTTTGAGTCATATGACGAATCAAAGCATTGTCTCCGGTGTCTGAAACCGGGGACGGGCACGAAGGATGCTCCCAGGGCATTCTCGCTGAAGCTCAGGTCCATCACTAGGAGCTTTGGGCTACAGCCTACTTCATACGACGAAGAGTTCGAGATGAGCCCAAACCTCTTGACAGCCAAGCACGTTGATGACATCAATATGACTGGGAAGGAAGAGGCTATTGACAAGTATGTCAAGTGTGTTGAAGATACGTTTGGGAAGTGCAAACTGAACAAGCACACATACACAAACTGTGCCGTTCGGTACAACAAGACCGATGATGGGAGCGTCACTCTTGATCAGGACGAATACATCAAACAGCTTCGTCCTATCACACATCCAGAGCTCACAGGAGCTGATCCTGAGAGCAAAGCGACAAAGACGATTTCTGACATGTTCGTCAGTCTTCGTGGCGCTCTAGCCTATGCGTTGATCACGCAGGTATGGCTGATGGTCTATGTTGTCTCACTACAACGTATCCAGGAACCGACAAACATCCAGGTACGACGACTAAACGCGGTTACCAGAAAGCTACAGGCAGGTCCGAAGAAGATCGTGTATCAAGCTATGACCCCAACAGGAGAAGTCGACCTGCATAGCGATTCTGGCTATCGTCGTCTCAACGGAGATGAAGACGACGAAGTCAAAGGCTATGGTATCCGCGGGGCTAACCTGCTGAGGCGTGGCCACACGCAAGCGGGGAAACCCGTCGTGCACCTGGTGGACGCATACTGCAAGTCTCATCGACTGCAGGTGCGTTCGAGCTACTCTGCGGAAACACTGGCAGCAGCCCACAACTTGGAAGACTGCTACCCGACCATTGTAACGCTCCACGAGCTACACTCGGGACCATTGACCCCCACACAGTTAAAGAACATATTGGAAATGGGTGGTCTATGTATCAAAGTCACTCTGACTATTGATGCCGAGTCTGTCTTCAAGTCTTTGTCTAGCAAAGATCTGAAGAAGCCCACAGAATGTACTCTGCTTGGGCACATCAGCTGGATCCGCCAGATGATGGAACGCGGAATCGTGGAAAGCGTCCAATGGTGTGACACGCGGGATATGACTGCCGATGGTCATACCAAAGGTAGTATTGACCGCGCGTTGCTCCTACAAGTAATGGCCGGCCAGCAATCCTTCAAGCACGAGCTGAAGAAACATACACCGTATAGGGCGGGCAGGTCGTCTCAGGACGGCCCTGCCTCCCGAGCCAGCGGGGAAACCCGCGGGCAGGTGCGCTTTAGTAGCGAGGAAACTCGCCGGTAGCGAGGCTACTCGCGCGCCCTTTCCTTGTAGGCAGCCGCTGCTGCTTAGCACTGTTTTTCCGCATAATGTAGAAGTGCGGTACCTGCTCGTCTCCTCCCCCTCCGACTTTAAACGGAGAAGGTTAAAGGCGAGGTATAAATCGAGCATGTACCGCTGCCGTGCCTGGCTCAAGCCGGGCCCGGCCAAATATATGACTGTGCCTCACTGAGGCGCACGACTTGCATCAGAGATCGGAAAATACCTTTTCCATTGACGATGCCCATCCTATCCTTTACTCCAGATCCCATGCTTCGTCTTGCACTCTTGCTCATGCGATATGAGCCAAAGCCTGGGATATGGCAACGCTTAAAGCGTAACACATACCTAAGCTTACCAGCTTGTTTTCGACGGGGGAGAGGAGGAGGAGGCAGGAGGAGAGGCGAGGAGGAGGAAGGAGGAAGAGGTGGGAGGAGGAGGAGGAGGAGGAGGAGGAGGAGGAGGAGGAGGAGGAGGAGGAGGAGGAGAGGGAGGAGGGAGGCGGAGGAGGCGGAGGATGAGGAGGAGATGGGAGGACGATGATGGAGGAGGGGGAGGAGGAGAGGAGGAACGAGGGAGGAGGAGGAGGAGGAGCGCGGAGAGTAGGAGGATGGAGGAGAAGTGAGGGAGGAGGAGGAGGAGGAGGAGGAGGAGGAGAGGAGGAGGAGGAAGGGAGGAGGAGGAGGGAGGAGGAGGAGGAGGAGGAGGAGGAAGAGGAGGAGGAGGAGGAAGAGGAGGAGGAGGAGGAGGAGGAGGAGCAGGATGATGAGGAGGAGGAGGAGAAGGACGACACCGAGGAGAGGGCGGACATCGTCGTCGTCATTGTCAGCATCAGTGTTTGATGTTGTCGTCGTTCGAAATCGTGTCTTCAATCGGGGAATTCTGCGCTAGAACCCCAGCGCGCGCGAAACGTGCGCGTTGTTGGTACACACATATGTTTGCATGTTGCCACGTTCTGCCCCGCAATGCTGCTTTAGCGTCATGCCAGTTTTCAATGGAGCTCGCCAGAATTGTGGAGGTCTCTCGCGCAAGAGGTATTCGGCATGCCTGGCTTGCAATATTTGCATGGTGTCTGCACCTAAGACTCACATCCACACTGTGGCATTGCTTCGCCAACCCGCGCATCGATCAACCTTTCTTCATCTGCCTTTGCAGCGGTTCTTGGCTCAACAGGTGGAAGATGGTTGCTCCCAGCGGACGGGATCCCACAGGTGGGGGGTGCATCATGCCTCACTGTTTCCCCCCTGCGCTGATCCTCTTGCCCGGCCCTGTTCGACTCTTCGCCGCACCGCATGGGCTTCGGCTCCGAGGTGGGAATTCATACATGACCGCTGCCTGGAGGTTTAAGGTTCGGGGACCCCGGCATGCGGTGGATATGAACATGTTCGGGTCCCCGGAGGCCACTACATCTCGCAGGCCTAGAGACTGACACCAACACCAATTTCGGCGGTGTGCCTCCACCGAGGGAAGACGATCCCGATCTCGGTGATGGTGGTAATCTTCTGGTTTCCAAGGTGGCCGAAATAGTACCACCAACACCGAAATCTAGGATCATCTTCCTCCTTTGGAGGCAACCCTCTGTGCTGGTGTTGGTGCCGATTTCCCGACCTCTAGACATCCACATCCACCGCTCGCCGGGGCACCAGGACGTCGGCTTCCAGGCGGTGGTTCTGGATAAATCCCCGCCTCGCAGCGGCACCTCTCCAGCCTTAAGTCGGGCCTGTTCCCCTACAGGGGGATTTTCGACGAAAAATAAAAAATACCTCCCAAATAGTCAACAAATAGTCCAAACATCGTCTGGGGTATTTTTTGACTTTTTTGGGGTATTGTTGGGGTATTTTTTTTTGTTGGTTCGTCGAAAATCCCCCTGTAGGGGGACAGGCCCGACATAACTCCAGCCCGACTGCCCCCCCCTCCCTTCGGAGGGCGTCGGCTGCGAGCCTGCACCGAGCCCGGCCAGGGCGAGCCCTGGGCCCACGGGGAGGGGGTGTGCGCGCGCCCTCGCGGCCTCGGCCACGAGGGCGCCTCCGCGCCGCTCCTGGGGCCCGGGCATCGGCCCAGCCGGGCTCGGTGTGGAGGTGCACACCGAGCCCCCCCCGCCCGCCTTCGCTCCTCCGCTCTGCCTCATGACTCCCCTGCCGCCGGGGAGCCGCCGCCCCCCTCACGCCCCTCGATCCCCCCCTTGGCCCCCCCCCCGGGCCCCCCTCTGCCCCGCCATCACCCTGCCCGCTGCCCGCACGGCCCGAGCCCAACGGTGCCCAAGGATGCCAGTCGGCCAGTGAGCTCGTGTGCCCAACACTGGGCCGCGATCGCCCAACCTTGAAGCGATCGGCCCTCAGGGCCGCCTGAATACGTGCTCTTAGGGGTTAGGGGGGGGGGTAGGGGGGCGGGGGGGTAAGGGTCCGGCCCCGGCCCGCGAACCTACCCCCCCCCACCCTTGAAAAAACCCGCCCCCTCCCCCATCTCCCCAACACCCCTACCTCACCCCCCCACGAATTTCTGAGGGGGAGGTGGGTTCACTTCGTCTGGGAGCTCCCGAGCGAAGCGAACCCCACCCTTCCCCTCAGAAATCGTGGGGGGGGAGGGGTAGGGTTCGCATGTGGCCCCCTAGCTCTGGCCCACTTCCCGTCGTCCCTCTGCCCTCGGCCCCCATTTTTCTTTTTGAAGGGTTGGTGTCAAATCCGTCCGCTGATCTTGGACCTGCTGTCTTGCGGGCCCTCGTGCCCGTGTGCGCGTGTGTGCTCGGCCCCCCCTCTGCGCGTCAGCCAGTGCCCCCCCCCCCCAGTGCGCTTCCGCACGGCCGCTTCTCGGGCCGGACGAGACGAAAGGGGAGGATAGGGAAAGGGGGGGTGCGAAGTCTGCTGCGTGCAGCTGGTTTCGGCCCCGCCGAGGGGCCCATTCCTCGATACATGGCCGCCTCCCCGGCGGCGGGAGGCGCCGGGAAAATCAGCTACGTGAGCTGATTCTCAAACCGTCCCTTTGGTATCCCCCCCTTTCGCCCAGCCCGCGCTTCTGCGCTCTCGTCCGCCCGTTCCCCCCCCTCGCACTGTTTTTTTTTTTTCCCCTTTGCGCTTCCCCTCCCTTCGGTCGGCCCCCCTTCGTCCCGTGCGCGTGCGTGTGCGAGTTCGTGTGTGCGTGTGCGCGTGTGTGCGTGTGCGTGCGTGTGCGTGCGTGCGTGTGCGTGTGTGCGCGTGCGTGCGTGTGAGTGCGCGTGCGTGCGTGCGTGCGTGCGTGTGTGTGTGTGTGTTGTGTGTGTGTGTGTGTGTGTGTGTGTGTGTGCGTGTGTTTGTGTGTGTGTGTGTGTGTGTGTGTGTGTGTGTGTGCGTGTGCGTGTGCGCGTACGTGCGTGCGCGTGCGTGTGCGTGCGTCCCCCGCGGACTCGGAGGGGCCCTCGGCGGATGGATGCGGTCTATGCCCAGCTGCTGCAGCTCCAGTCCGAAG